GGGTAGAGCCGTTGCTCACTACACCGCGCAGGTGCCCAACCTCTCACACGGGCGCACATGGGCTTTCACAGCACTCCGCAGAGCATAAAACGAAGCTCGCGCTCGACCTGCACCATTAATCTGCCTCGATGGCCCAGCCAGCCGCTGCGGAGAGCCTTGTGCTGCCTGATGAGCATTGGCTGGTTACGCGGCTGTGATCTCCCACGAGCGAAGCTCGTGCGAGCCGCCTGACCTGTCAGCCCGGCCGCAGCGCAGCTGCTGTTCCCCTGCCATGCAGCCGGGCCTGGGGCGGGGCTAGCGCGCCGCGTGCGACCACCCGGCAGACAGTCGGCCGGATTTGGGACGGAGCCAATGCGGCGCAGGCGGGTGTATCTGCCGGGTTGCCCTGGTGCGTTAGCAGGTATGGCTTTCAGAACCACTGGCCGCCATCCAGCCCCTTTAGACCCAGCTCGGGTGCCCGCAGGCAAGCACCTGCATCCGTGCCCATAGACACTTGCACCCACAGGAACCCGTCCCTGAAGCCCCCCTACCCAGAGACATTTTCGCGTACCCCGAGCGCAGCGCAGCGCAGCGCTTGACAGGTGCTAGAGTTTTGCAGAGCGCGGCCTGATCAACAGCTGGCCGGCTATGCTGATGCGGTACGCAGGGAGCAGGCTAGCTAGCTGCTCATCGCACCCCACCGCGGCCGCCGAGTCAGCCACGAGCCTCCAGAGCAGTGCGACCCACGGGCACCTTTCAGAGGTGCTGCGGCCGCCGCCGCGTCGCGCATACCCAGCTTTGCTGTGAGGCTCTGCGCGCGTCATGCCTCCCCGTGCCGCGCGCCCACGCTCCCAGCTGCCCAGTGGCACGAATATGAAGCGCATAGCACCTGCATGCAATCCCGCCGACACTTTGTAGAAAAAGGTGAGGCTTTACAGACTCACGTGCTCAATATGTGGCCGGTCTAGGCCAGCCGACAGTTCTTTCCCTGAACCCGAATAGTTGAAGGCTTTTGCGCAAAGCCCGGGCTGCGGCGATGGCTCCCCGGCCAAGTGCCGCGCGAGCGCGCCGGGCAGCAATAGGAAGCGGTCTTGGAATGCTTGAAGGGGCGCAATGGGACATCATTTGGGGCGCGCGCGGCAGCCCGTATTCAGCCGGCGGCCCGGCGGCCGCCCGGCGCACGCCGCGCCGCCGCAGCGGCGGCAGGAAAGGCAGCATCAGCAGGGGGAGGGGGCGTCGCGTCTGGCGCGCCGCATCAGAGCGAGGTCGAGGTGTACGACTGGAACCCGCCGCCCACAGAGTGCTGGTCGCGCCGCGCCAGCACCAGGTCCTCCTCCACCATCTCCCTCACCAGCTCCTGCGGCGGGCCCGAACGAAAAAGGGGACCGAGGGGCGGTGTCGCGGGCAGGCGGTTTGTAATTGAGGGTGACGGCGCGGGCCGACGGCGGAGGGGTCGGCGCGGTTTTTCAGCAGTGTCGAATCCGCAGCCGCTAACTTGCGCGGTTTCGAGCGCCCAGCAGGCAGGTGTGGGCCGCCCGCTGCGGCTTTCTCTGTTTGGTCGTGAGGGATTCAAGCTGCCCATGCTTGCGGGTTTTGCTGCAAGGGCGCCCTCACGTTGAAGGTGGTCTTTGGCTTCCAGCCCAGCTTCTCCTCAGCTTCGCTGGGGTCGCCCAGCAGCGTCTCCACCTCGGTGGGGCGGAAGTAGCGGGGGTCCACTGCGACGATGACCTGGCGGGGTGTGCAGCATGTTGCGATGTGATTAAGCATGGATGCATGCATGCGTGCGTGTGTGTGTGTGTGTGCATGTGTGCGTGTGTGTGTGTGTGTGTGTGTGTGTGTGTGCAGAGTGGGCACACACAAGTCTCCTAAGGAGGCCCAGGTTGGCTGCAAACCAGCGACATGGCTGCATCAGTTATGCATAATTCACACTCGAAATTGAAGCGCAAACCCTATGATGATGTCATGCTGATGACAACCCACTGCACGCCCGCCGAGCAGCCCATCAAGCCGATGGGCCCAAGGCGCGCGCAGCGCGGCTGCAAACAGAGCCGCCCCCCGCCGCCGTGCCGCGCCGCGTACCTTGCCCGTGGCCTTGTCGATGCCCTTGGCCTCCGCGCCCTCCCCGGTCCACTCGATCGTAATGCCCAGCATCTCGCACGCCAGCTGCACAAACTCCTTCACTGAGTACTGGTTGCCTGCGGCGCCGCGGGGCCGCGTGGTGCGGGCGCGGGGCCGGCGAGGGCAGGGGCGAGGGCTCAGACAGATGGACGGCACGGCGGCTGCAGCAGGGGCCCTTGGCTGTTCCGGGCGGCTGCTCCGGGCTGGCCCCGGCAGGCCGGGCGGGCGCGCGGCAGGGGGGCCGGCGGCGGGCGGTGGGGCGGGCCAAAAGACTGCGGCTTGCGAGGGGCGAGGCGGGGCGCCCCTCCTCTTGGCGGAGGTGGGGGTGGGGCTCACCCGTGGCGATCACGTAATCGCGGGGCTCCTCCTGCTGCAGCATGAGCCACTGCATCTCGACATAGTCCCGCGCGTGGCCCCAGTCGCGCCTGGCGTCGAGGTTCCCGAGGTACAGGCACTGCTGCAGGCCCACCTGCGGACACATGCAGCGGCGTCGCTCGCCGCGTCGGCGCGTGCGGGCGGCCGGGCGGGGGAGCCGCAGGGCAGCGCTCGCGTGCCTGCTGCCGCTAAGTTTTAGGTGGGTCCGCGGCAGGCGGGCTAGGTGCAGGGGGCCAGGCAGGGGCGGCGCCGCGGGGCGCTCGCCCGCTCGCACCTTGATGCGGGCGAGGGCGCGCGTGATCTTGCGCGTGACGAACGTCTCGCCGCGCAGCGGGGACTCTGCGGCGGGAGCGCGGCGGTGCGGCGGCGAGGGAGGGCGCGTGGGCGGGCGGCGAGAGCGCGTGGGCAGACCGGAAGCGGGGCGCATGGTGCGGGCCGGAGCCGGGCCCGCGGGGCGGCGGGCGCGCGCGTGCTGGCGCGGCCGGCGGCGGCGGCGTGGCCGCGGGGGCGCACCGTGGTTGAAGAGCACGCCGTTGCAGGCGAAAATGCCATAGGCCTCGCGGTAATTCACGGTGATCCAAAAAGCGTACAGCTTGGCGACCGCGTACGGCGACCGCGGGTAGAAGGGCGTCGTGATGCGCTGCGGCACCTCCTGCACCTTGCCGTAGAGCTCCGACGTGGAGGCCTGGTAGAACTTGGTCTTCTTCTCGAGGCCACAGATGCGGATGGCGTCCAGCAGGCGCAGCGCGCCGATGCCGTCGACATCGGCTGTGTACTCTGGGCTTTCGAACGACACAGCGACATGGCTTTGGGCACCGAGGTTGTAGATCTCGTCCGGCTGCACGAGCTGAACGATGCGCACGAGGCAGGTGCTGTCGCTCAGATCACCGTAATGCAGCACCAGCCGCTTACGGAACTGAGGCTCCTCATAGAACTTATCAATCCGCTGGGTGTTGAGCTGAGAGCTGCGGCGCTTGATGCCATGCACCTCGTAGCCTTTCGTGAGCAGAAGCTCACATAGGTACGCACCATCCTGTCCTGTGATTCCCGTTAGCAGAGCACGCTTTGGGGCGGTCTCGGCCATCCTGCCAAACGCGGGCCTCGGCTACGCGGGCCTGTTGGCACTTCTATGCCGCAGGAAATGTGGTGAAAGCGGGTGAAACAGAATAAACAAGTGATAACACGAGTCGTGTGTGCTACACGTGGCACATAAGGCGTGCGGATGAGGGACGGAAGGCCAGAACGGGGACCAGTTACTTCCTCACCTGGGTGTCCGCGGAAGGCCTGGCACGCCCAGCTTCAACAGCGAGCTTCCAAAGCGTAAGGTCTCAAAAACATACATTTCACCTCAAGTGTCACTCGGCCAAGCAGTTGCACGCCACAGCACTGGGCGTTGCTAGACCGGGGATGGGCTCACCGTCGGAACACTTGCGGCTTCAAACCCAAGAGGAGCCGCTACGTTCCAGGCCGGTTCATTTGAACGACATACTGCATCTATATACAACTTGGACATGTTCACATTGCTGCGCTGCAGCGCGAACGCGGAGAGACCTGAAGCCCACGCGAACAGTGGGTGCAAGTTTGCTGCATTCAGCACAACAGAGGCCACCCATAGACCATTCTGGGGTCCCCGCGCGAGCACACACCTTCCTGACCCCGGAAACTATGTTTAATGTTTGGCTCATGCAGCTGCATGCCAGAGCCCGTGGTGTATACTGGCAGGGGAGCTACGCGGTTGGGCTGAGCTCTGAGCTGAGCAGGGGTGCTCGTCAGCTGGGGTGCGGCGTGAGTCTACTTTTCTTGCAGCTCTGACTCTGCGGTGGTGGAGCAAGGTGCTCACATGCTTGGAGAGCAGCAGGGCAGCAGGGACGCACCACGCTCTGCCCACAATCACCAGTGCCCCCGTCAGCTACTACCTGGCGGTTATCGCCCAGAACCTGACACAGAGCACTATCACATAAGATGCACTTTGAGCGATACAGAACACATCATTACAAGCGGTCGTCACTTGCACGGCTGCCCTCTGGCCACGGCTGCCCCGGCCCCATCCGAGGCCCCAACCCACAGGCAGAAATGCTGGCGAGAGGGTCGCTGGTGGCCTGCGGGCCCACGCATTGTGTGTATGGCCGGTCCTGCGCCGCCCATATTCACCCCAGCAAAGTGGCTGTCCAGGGCTTGCCGGGGCCCCTCCTGTCACACGCACCAGTGCCACAGAGCCAGCCGCCTTAGATAGCATGAGCCGCATGACAGCTTGTGGGGTTGGAGTGGCACAAGAACGTCCGTGCCGTCTTTGAAACGCAGTTGCAGACAGACCCCACCAGAGCGCACGTGTTTGGGAGGCTGGGAAACACTCCAACGTCACGTGCCGACAGGATGACAGTCAGCACGTACAATCAGGACCCCACCAGAGTGCGCGCGGTTGGGAGGCTGGAAAACGCTCCAACATCACATGCCAACAGGGATGACAGTCGGCACGTACAATCAGGCCCAGGGCCTGCATGCAAGTCGGCAGGCAGCATCTGGGGCAGCTGCACCGCGGCAAAAGGATTCGAAGAAAGAAATGGCGCCTGGGCGCCTCGAGCGCGTGGTTGTTGTGCAGGCGGCGGGCAAAGAGCCCGGGGGTGGAATTGGCGGAAATGTATCGCTGGATTTCAGAATCGTGCCCAATCATATGTGATCATGGGCATTTGGTGGCGGTTGCGGCGCGGTAGGGGTGCGCTCTACATGCTGCCACGACCGCAATGTGAGGACGCCAGAGGAGGACCGTACGCAAGTGGGGGCTTGGGATGCCAGTATCGCAGGGCACGCTCTCTGGTGTCAGCCAGAGAGGCAGCACGGGGAACCCTTCGAAGCCTGAAGAAGCTCCGAGAACCGCAACTGCAGGCAGATAATCATGCTTGAAGACGCCAAGTTTTGCCGATAGTGTCGCTAGCCACAAACGGTGCTGCGAACTGACCGTCTTGCAATTCATCGATTGGACCAAAGGGCTGTGGGCGCCCTGACACGCAGCACAGCACGAGGGGCGACTTCCTGAGGCGTCGGCGGGCGGCGCATCAGCAAAATCCCCAAGACAAGTTCAAGATGTCACACGGGGGCGGTTTAGGGCGTGCGCTTGGCGCGCGCCCGGCCCTACATCGAAAATGGAACGGAGAACGCGGTGCCTAGGCAAGTGCTGCCATCCCGCCACGTGCAGCGCAACAGGCGGAGCAGGCGCAGCCCCTCGTGTGTGAGGCCGCCCAAAGCGGACGTGTGTATGCGGCATTGTGGCCTCCTTTCCTGTGAGTGTTGCCAGGCACCAGCCATTGTTGAGGAACATGCGCAGCTGCACGCAGAAAAAACGCAGCACCAAGCGCAAGCGGGCCGTCCCACTCTCCATTCGCTCTATTGGCACGGCCGAAATTGGCGCCTCAGCCACGCACAGAGGGTGGAGCAAACCATTGGGAGGGGTGACAGGGCTGTTGCAGTGCGAGCCCTGATCTCGCCGCCCTGCAACTAGCACACACGCAGAGGTCCATCAGCAGATGCGCGGCTCGGTCAACGCGGGTCAAAGCGGCCGGGCAGGCCAGGTGCTACGGCGCGCAACAAGCGTACAGATCGCGGCGCGCTGAAGAAGGCAGTTCATGTATTTGTAGTTTCCAAGGTCGAAGTGGACGCGCCATTCACCTGGGTATCGCGATGTGCCGATTGCAGCAAGGCAGGCGGCGGCGCGCACTTTTGCGCGTGACGCTGAAAGCATGCAAAGTTCCCACCGGCGTACTGCCTAGATGCGTCAAAGCTCAACTCACATTAGAGGGACAGAGCAGAGTGCCCCGGATTTGTGAGGCATACGCGGAAAGCACACGCTCACATACACGCACATCAACCAGGATGAGGGGATGGCGGTGCCCGCTTGGGCGCCGCGCCCGCCACAAGGCCGTTTAGGCCCAAGCGGAATCGCTGCCGCTGCTGACTCCATCGCCTGTAGCGCTCAGCAGGCGGCTGATGAGGCCCGCCGCCGCCTGCAACTGCGCAGGGGAGCCGGACAGCGCAAGTCCTGAGCCGGGCGCGCCCCCAGGCGCCGGCTTGAGCCTGGGGGAATTTGGAGGGCGGCGGCGCAGAACGTCAACAATCATTATCGATGGCTGGCCAGGCGGGGCAGGCAGGAGGGGAGGACGGTCCACCGCGGGCCGCTGCCGGCTGTGTTCGAGCCTGCAAAACTACCACAGCGCCACGTCAGCGCGAACCCACCCCCAGTGATACTTTGGCGGTTGTGCGGATGCCCCCTCTAGGCCCCTCTAGGCGCTCACCAGATCGCGGCGCCCGAAAGCGCACTAAGCGACGCGGCGTGGATGAGCACCAGCTGCACCTGCTCCGGCGATTGGAGCGAGAGTGGCATGCACTGCGGCGG